GCTCAGCATTTCTTAAGCTCAAGGAACTGAAGAACAAATTCAAACCTCGAGTTTCTATGATCAAGGATGCTTTCGGCAGAATGTTAAATGATCCAGGAAGAATTAAAAGAAGACGGAAAGAATATCCTGAATCACTGTATTGAAAGGAATTGGCAGATACAGAAGTATTTCATGAAACAACATATGAGCAAGATCCTATAGTGATGAAAGAAGTTCAGGCTGCTTTGAAGGAAATGGCAAAAAATAAGGCTCCAGGAATAGATAGTATACCAATTGACTCTATTGAATAACTTCCTGAAAACCTGGTCTGAAGTGAAATCAGTTCCCGGAGTATGTGCAGAAACATTTTTTGTGACTAACAGTTGACCTCCCCAAGCAGGAAGCACCAGGCATAAGAACATTCCAGGTAATGTGTGCACTCTATCCCATAATAACTCATACCTTTTGATCTGGAATCTTACATGTTGACTCCCTCTTATTTACCAATTGCTCACACACTCTCATAATAAAAGTGACTTTCTTTAATTCAATGTGCCTCTCTCTTATTGGAATACTCTTTCAAGGAAGGAAAAAACTAATTGTGAGAGCTGGAAACAAGCTCAAGACCTGTATACTATCCTTTCTTCTCACAATATCTGCTGTGCGTAAACTCATTGTTATAGTCATTGTGTCAATCTGCTGAGTTTTGTTCTGTTGAACATAAGGTCTTATGGGCCAGAGTAAACCTGATAGCACCCTCTTTGACTGGATTCTCCAGAGAAGCCAAACAATTGAAAAAAAAAAAATATATATATATATATATGGAAGGAGGAGTAAGGGAGGGAGGACAGAAAGAGAGAGAGTTCTCTCTATAAATGTTCTGTTTTGTGACATTCCCTCTCATCTTTGCACATTGTAAACTTCTCATGGAAAAGACATTGCCTAAATAATTTCTGCTTCCTCAAAACTCAGCATCAACAAGTTCTGAATTTAACTCAGGCCTTCAGGTTGGCAATTTCCAAGTCTTTTACAGAGAGTGATATCATGCTGGGAAAGGTAGGGGATGTAAGCAAAAGAGAGGAAGGCCCCAGGAAGATATGGATTGACACAGTGATTGTCGCAATGGACTTAAGCATGTGACAGAGGTGAAGATCGTGCAGGACAGAGCAAAGTTCAGATCTGTTGTTCACAGGGTCACTGAGTTGTAGCCTACTCCACAGGGCCTAACAACAACGTATACAGATGTTTACATCTTCACACAGGAAGTCGTTTTTCTTGCATTGCCACTAAAAAGTCTAGTGATTTGAAATTGTTAAGGTTTAAAATCCCTATTTTAAACTTTGAAGTTTTTTTTTCTAGTCTCAAAATGCTCTTAGAGAACAGAGGGGGTAAAGCCTTCACTTCTGCTCCTGTTTATAGGTCAGACGGCCGACATGTAGTGTTGACTCTCATAGGTGGGCATTTAGCTTTGCCCTCTGCAAGGAGCTGCCCCAGTTTTGATGATGCTACCCTTCTTGCTGCTTCTCCTACTTTATGCTTGCTCTCCTTACATGTGCTGCCTCGGGTGGGGGGTGGGGGAAAGCTCCAAAACCAAAAAAATGCAAGATGGGGATTTAATCTCCGCAGGCCATAGTCTGTTCTCTGATGGAATGTTGCAGTGTCAAACTCAGCATTTCAACTTCAGCGTTCCTAAAGAGAAGGTCACTGTATAACGACAATTGGCGCGAAGTTCTCAGGCGACACGGAGAAGCCCTCGCAGTTCCCCCTGTTGCCAGGTTCAGCGTGGAGCCTTCCCAGAGATCAACTCACACTTGCAGCATCTCCGTGAGGCCAGCGAGAACCGGGTGCCCCATGGGCGGCAAGAGGTTGCCTGGTGGGAGGAGCCAGGAGACCTGCGTGGCCACAGTACCGCCTCCTCGGCCTCTCGGCTCCGCCCCGCGCCAGCCACGCGTGCGCACTGGCCTGTCGTGCCTGTGGGCGGACAAGGGCACTGGGAGCCCCGCCTACGGCGGACGTGCTTGTCCCGCTCGCCTTCGCTGCCGTGGGCGCCGCAGGTTGAGTTCGCATGCAGGACCTTTAAAAGTCGGCGGGAGGCGTCTCAGGAGGGAGGCTGCGGGCAAGATGGCGAAGGCCGGCCAACTGCTGTGCCTGCTGAGCCTGCTTTTCGGCGGAGCGGTTTGTCTCGTGCTGTCCTTACCCACCCGGGGCTCCACCGAGAAGCCCATTGTCGGTAAGGTGGATGTAGGGGGTTTGGGGCACGCGGGCAGTCACTGGGCCCTGCCAGCTGCTAAACTGAACCTCATAACTCCCCGCCCCCCTTTGATAGGGCAGCCACGCCCTGTTGGGTTTTGGCTTCATAGTAATTTATAGAACAAATAAAAATTGGACACCATGTATTTCCTACTGAAATGTTGGCAGATACCTCCTGTTTCATTTAGAGTAAATACGGCTCTTGAGATTGGTAGAAAGTGAGACACACAGTGAAATGGTATTTACTGCACTCTAATTAGCTAAGGATACGTTTGTAGATGCTATATGTGCGAAAATGGAATCGCCCAAAGAATAAGAAATTGGACTGTGTCATCTTTCAGCACTGGGGGGCAGCAGTGGCGCATGGGATTCTATTGGCTGTAAACGTGAAGTGTGCAATTTTCGTTTCCAGCAAATTTATGTTTAACCAAAGAGTGAAGATCAGTGTGCATTAGAGACCCAGAACAGGAAGAAAACTACTGGGAGAAATTCGTCTGGGATTAAATTGTGTCAGTAGTTAACTCCCTGCTGTTGAGTCTGAACCGACTGACAGCTGGCTCTGCCGCGAGTTTTCAGAGGTTGTAAATAGCGCAGGGAGAAGATTGCCCATGTTTCTCTGGTTGCTAGTCAATTCTTGGAGAAGGACATCATTCTTGGAAAGGTGGAGGAACGGCAAAGCAGAGAAAGACCCTCAGCCAAGTGGATTAACACGGTGACAGTAACAATGGGTTTGAGTGTGTCAGCAGTTGTAAGGATGGCACAAGATAGGACAGGGTTCAGATCTGTTGTTCATAGATAGGGTCACTATGAGTTGTACTTGATGGCACCTGACAATAACAACATGTTCTAGGATGCTTAAGATAGTTTGCACACACACGCACATATGCGTGTGTGTGACAGCCCACCTCTTCCTGCCCTGTAGCACATTATTTCCTGTGACATTTCTTAACTCTGTTTTCTTTAGCTAAACTTCTTTTTCCTCATTAAAGGTGATCTTGCTTGCTAGGGAGGAGGAAAAAAGTACTAATTAGCAAGACTGTACTAGTACACGGATGTTACTGTTCCAGAAGTACTTGTATTTTATCAGAGTATGATTATGAATGCAAATGGATTTCTTCGTCATTCATATATACCTGAAAATATTACCTAATGCCAGGTAGTGTAAGAAATGGAAATGAAATACAGAAGTGAATAATGCTGACAGCTCTTCCTGATAGAATGCCTACAGTGTCATTGCAAGTGACTGATTACAGATGCTGAAGAACTGAGTGGTGGGCATAGGTTCACTTGCATGCTTTGGTTATGTGTTGGATGACAGCCCTGGATCGGTGGTGAGTTTTCAGTGGTGAACAGAACTATGGTCACTGAGTTTATTGTCAGGGAGAGTATAAAGATGTTAACCCAATAATAAATTCTATAATGTAAATGTATTACCTGAATAAGTATTATAAAGAAGAGGTACATTTTGCTCTGAGAGGTATAACAAAAACCATGCTCCTTAGGAAAGGCCACTAAGAAGACAAGAGACTGAATGGAACAAAGGATGAGCAGAGGTAGCTAGAACTTTAGAGGGGCTAATGGCTAATGTGTAGGCTCTTGAGACAATGCAAGGTGAGTATGACTCAACACCGATGAAGAGCTAGCAGGGAGAGGACGCCAGCGAAAGGCAGGCAGTGCTTCTACTCTTGTAAAGTTTATTGACGTTTAAAGCGTCATTAAAGTCTACTCTCAGTGATGTGCTACTATACTCATTTCATTTTCTAACTCTTTGCTTTGTGAATTGGCAGTTGACTTAGGGACTTTGCATTTCCCATTTCTTCCCCAGCCCACACATTCTCCCTTTAGATCGCTCCATAAAGCTTGCACAGTCTTACCCATCTAAACTCTCTTTTCTGCATTCTTAGAGAGAACCTACCTGACATCCTGAAACTAAATTTGTTTTTGTTATTTAGGAATATTAATGCAAAGGGCACATAAAAAGATGAAAACCTACGGAAAATTTTATATTGCTGCATCCTATGTAAAATACCTGGAGTCTGCAGGTGCAAGAGTTGTACCAATAAGGTATGGTGTGCTACTTCCTACACTCTGGATAAGAGTTGTAATGCTTTGTCTCATATCAGTTCATCACTATCTATAGTAACATTACACTTCATTTTTGTGACAGATACAATGCATAAAAGCTTATGTTAGATTCTTTAATACATGAAGCCATGTCTGTCTGTAACATTGTTATAAATGTGTGCCATGTATTGAATTGTGTCCCCTCTAAATTCATGTGTGTAATGAAATAATGTGGAAATATTTTTCCCCATGAGCTAATAAACGAAATAGTTGTAAAAGTGTTAAGGGTGGAACACAAAAGCCTTAATCCCACCACAGTGTTGGTAAAGGGTGTTCCCCTGGGATGTGGCTGTGCCACAGAGAGGGAAGCCAGCCATCAAACCGTTGTAAGTGATTCCACACATTAAACACCTTAATGCCAGCGTGAAAGAATTGCCAGGAGTGGAAAGCATCCTTTTGAATTCAAGTCTCTATGTGAGGAAGCTCCTTAAAACCAGGAATGATCAAGATACTTGAAGCTCTCCAAAGGACACTTGAGCCTGTGACACTGAAGAAAGCAGTGACCTTCATCTAGAACTGACAGAAAGGACCTGCCTTAGAGGTGGCTAGTTGAATTTGGACTTGTGGTTTCCGAAACTGTAAGAGCATAAATTTCTGTTTGTTAAAACCTTCCACTGTGGTTGGTATATCTATGAAAGCAATACTAGATAATTAAGACCGTATGTCATAGGCAATAGTATCACAAAGAAAAAGGATAATTTGCCTTTATTTCAGAACAGGTTGTCTGCATTAGACCCCATGAAAGTAATAGGATAAAAGGATCTTTAACTTAGCTAGCTTTTTTTATTCTATAAAGTTAGGGTTGGGAAACAGGTAGGAAATAAATACTTAGGACTTCTAAAATACTTTGATACTCTATTTTAGAAGTTTTAAATGATTAATGTAGCATTGTTGCTTCAGTATTAAGCATAGGTATTCTAGTTTTAAGAGTAGTATTATTTTGGTAATAAAAAGACCCAATAGAAATACAGTGATTAATTTCTTACTTTGATTTTGAAAGCCTTATAGATAATTTATAATATATTATCAAACAAAATTTACATGCCATGGAGCCTCCTAATACTCCTATCAAATCCATTATAAGTGATTTCACATTAAAAGCACAACTCTTTACTCATAGGGTTGCTGTGAGTCGTGGTTGACTCGATAGCACATAACAACAACAGCAACAACCTGTGTTTACAAATAACTCAATAATGAAAAATTATACCAAAGATAAATTTGTTCGAATATTATTGATAATAAAAATACAAATATGGCAGTGTAGAGAATTATTAACACCAAGTTTAGTGGCAAAAAAATTGTCTTGCTTGATCTCTTTCATCTAACTTACTATCTCTATAGGAAGATAAGCATTTGTTTTTGGTCTTTAGTCCTTATTTCTTTTTATTAGCTGATATAATTTTTCTAATGAGATCATATTGGAAACCAGATAACAGAAGAGTTTTAGAACTGAGGGGAAGACTCTTGAGGGTCTCTGAAATACAGTTAGGCCTTTTCTCTTGGTTTCATCTTAGTCTGGAAACTCCACTCCAATCTGTTCACCATGATAGAGGGAACACACTAGCTTCCACTGACCGACAGACATTGGCTGGTCACCGGAGGTTCTTTGGCCCGGAATCCGATCTAGGTCTCTTGCACTGAGAAAGCAATCTACCACAGAAACGTCACTGACCACCTCCCCCAGCCCCCCCCCAAAGCTACTATTTCAAGTCAACTGTATGTATCTCATGGTGACCCTAAGTGTATTAGGGTAGACCTGTGCTCTATAAAATATCCAGTGGAGATATTTTGTAAGTAGACTGGTAGATATACCTGAACCAGTGCATTAACTATTAGCACTATTCCCATGATAGTGACATAATGGGCTAGTAGGCTAGTAGTTGACCAGATATGAAGTTACAAACTCTTGATTAAGTTCCTGGTTATTGGGATTGATATTTAAATGCTTTGTTTAGAAATCAGCAAGACTTGATGACTAATATAATAGCAAAAGAAGAGGAAGTAGATGGATTAGGGATAACCAAAGTTTTGAAACAAAATGTCTTGCAAAATATTGATGTTTATGCCAGAGACATTGGGAATGTGACTGTTGGTATATACCAGTATATTTTCAGCTTAGGCATTTGTCTTAATTTCTTAATGCTGCTCTAACAGAAATATGAAAGGTGAGTGGCTGTGACAAAGAGAAATTTCTTTTCTGGTAGGTTAAAAAACTTAACTGCTCTTGAGTTGGAAACAACGCATAGCTGACCCTGCAGTGAATTTTCAGTTACTGTGCGTCTCATGGGAAGATGCTGCCCACCTTTCCCCAAGGAGTCACTGGTGGATTTGAACTACTGGAGACTCGTCCTTTGGGTTGCCTGTGCAGCTTGCTACAGATTATGCCACCAGAGGACCCAGAGGGTTCAGATTACTGATTTTTAGGTTAGCAGCTGAACGCTTTAAGTGTTGTACCACCAGGGCTTCCTTCCATGGATATAGTGGTTAGGATTCCAATACATACTTCTTTTAGGAGGGCACCAATCTATAGCATCATCAAGGGATATTGTTTGAGATTAGAAGCCTTTTGGAGACTACTAACTAATACATAGAAGCTTGGGTGATCTCAGTCTGCTGAATTTTCAGTTAGTTTCAAGTGAGTTCGCTGTTGGCACCAGCCAGGAACTGGCTTTTTTGAGAGGACCCATGGAGAACATTCTAGGTCCTGGCTGGCTAGTTTTCTTTTTGTTTGTACAGTCTAGGGATTTTAGAGTAGTCAAATGCCGGCTATACAATTACTTTACCGCCCTGTTGCTCCACATTCTGATTGTCTGCTCTTTTCTGCATGCAAGGTGATGTAAGCACCCCTCCAACAATGCTCTGGATTTCTCTGCTAAAGGGTGTGTTACCACGAGCTGATGAAGGGACCAGGATTTCTTAACTAGTGTGGTTTATTTGCATCTAAGGGGTAACACAAAGGGGAAATCAGGCAGAATGTGGAATAAAATAATACTTTTTGTAGCATGTGTATTGTTACTTGCCTTCAAGTCACCTATGCCTCACAGGGACTTTATGTATAATGGCTTTGAGGCCTACCTTGTCCTGAGCCAGTCTCACTAACTCCAACACACCTATCCCCATTCCCCAGTTACTTGGTAAGTCCATCTCATCTGAGGTCTTCCTCTTCTGCACTGTCCCTCTACCCTTCCAAGCATGATGTCCTCCAAGGACTGGTCCCTCCTGGTCATGTGCCCAAAGTATGTGAGACAGAGAGCTTCAGAATCCTTGCCTTGAAGGAAAAACTTGTTTTCACCCTCTTCAAGATAGACCTATTTATTCTCTTGGCAATCCATGGTATATTCACTATTTTTCTCCAGTACCATAAATCATCAGTTTTTCTTGTGTCATCTTTGGTCATTGTCCAGCTCTCTGAGATCTAGCAAAAAATTGTGAAGATCATGGCCTGGATCTCTAGAATGACGTTTTTGCTCCTCAATACTGTATGCCACATTCTGTATAATAGGTTATCCACTTAATGGGAGAAGTATTCTACTGGAACTTATACCCTTAAACAAAACAAAGTAAAAAAAATTCTCCCATCTTCCAGGATAGAAATGATGGACTCTGGTTGATACCTGATTAAAAATCTGCTCTTATGATAGATTCAAATTGCATGTGCTTTGCTTATTCTTACAGAAAGAGAAGATTGCTAAATGTAGGGATGATCTTGGAAGAATTTCATTAAATATATTCTTGTCCTTTATTCTTGCATTTCATTTCTTTCTTTTTACAAGAAGGTATTTCTCATTGTGACCTAATTAAAGGTTGTAGCAGTTGCCACAAGTTAATCCCATGGGGTTTTTTTTCCCCTCTGGGGAAAGGTGCTAAAATGTTACTAGTATGGTAATGGTTAGGGACCCTGCAGGAGTCTTTTGTCAAGCTTGCCCCAGAAATGGAAGATAAGGCATATCTATGTGGATCTGACTCCCCTGACAGTCATTTTCCATAGTCAGTGTGTACGTCATTAATGAAATATCAGACCCCACTCTCCACTTTTCTGTTCATTTCTGCCACCAGCTGCCCTTGGAGCACAAGCTTGGTCAAGTTCCCCAAGTTAGAAGGACACTGTCCTTCAGACTGCCAAATAGACCCAAGACTTCACATGTCTGTCCACTACAAGCTTGGCTGTCCACGTGACACCCTGCAGCTTTGCTGTTCTTTCACTACCCATCCAGGATCCCCACCCTCTGGATTCCTCACTTCTGACCTCCTGACTGTTATGTTGCACAAGCTGATTATCTCGGATCCCATGCAGCTACCTGAGTGCTCCGATGAGGACCTGTGGCTTCAGCCCCTCCGTGGGTTCAGTGTCCATCACATCTGACCGAGCTGCATGCATGGGACAGTTATAGACAGCTGTCAAAGTGAAAGCTGTTTTATTACAGCAAGTAGACAGCAAACAAGAGGAACAGTTCATGGTGAGCCAGTCTCGCCTAGGCCCGGAGAGCTGTTGAAGTGGGATGGATACTTTGTGTGCCCCCACTCTAAGGAAGAGACTTTAAAGTCTCAATAAAGTCTCATTAGTGGCCCAGTGTTCTTGGGGTGTCATGTGACTCAAGTTTAGTGCAGTTGGTGATGTCCTGACTCAGCTACACTTCAATGGCATGACCCGGGTCTTAGATCAAGTTTGTCTTTCTAGCTCTGCTCGCTGGAGGAGACAGAGAATATGCTTTCTTCTATACCCACAGGATACCTGCTGTGAGCTTAGCAGTTCCCAGCTGCCCTTGCTTCCGAGCCATTGCTCCCACTCCTCCTTCTTTGTTAGGATGGCTTACTGAGCTCATGGCAATCATATTTACAATTGTAACTTTATTATTAGCAAAAGAGTGACACAAACAAAGAAATGCATAGGGAAAAGGTTGAGAGGATTCGCAAAGAGGGGTTTCCATGTCCTGAAGGGCATGCTACTCTCCCGCGTGCCTGTCTGTTTTCACAAACCAGGAAGCCCATGGAGCCTCTTGGTCCAGAGCTTACTGGTACCTCTTCCTATAGACATGATTGATTAAATCACACCCTTTCCACCTGACCCCTCCTGCAAAGGTAAAACTTTATATCAGAGCAGTCTCTGTCCTGGCCAGTATTCACCACGTTACCACAGTGTGGGCTGGAATTTCTATAATAACAAAAACACCTCAATTTTGCAGGGGGGAAAAAATTAGCATTACCTCTCAGGAATCTAGGGGGGAAAGACCATTATTTCTTTGGGTACATTTTAAGTCTAACTCTAAATCTGATTTGTAAATACGTAGTAGACCCCACAGAGTTGGGAGTGGGAGGGGCATGAAATGGTGACTTGGAATTTATAGGATTGGTTGTTTTTCTGATCCTAAGACATAAATGACAAACCCTTTGTTTAATGCTTACAGAAAAATCACTTGTCTCAAATATCATATTTTAAAAATATTGTGCCTATTAACATATGTCACAACAGCAGATGACTTAAGAACACAGGAAGATACATTACTGGTCATAGCAAAATAAAGATGAAGCTCATGTGACTTTTATGCAGTTTGGGGAAAAAATGCCTCTTGGAATGTGGAGATGTAATATTGCCTGGAATTTAAGAATTCTTTTTCTTGTGGCTTTCAAAAATTAATGTGGTGATTGCATTTAGAGCGTTACTTTTTCCATGAACTTAAGAATCAGATATTCTATAACTATTTTTCTGTTGTTTTCAGGATTGATCTTACACCTCAAGAATATGAAAAGCTTTTCAGATCTATTAATGGGTAAGTTGGGATCATTGGGTTGATAGTAGAGTATTCATATGTATTTTGATGCTTTTATAAACAAGCTTATTCTGCCTCAAAGAGACCCTAAAAAATAGAGTTGAACTAGCCCATAGATTCCAAGCTGTGAATTCTTCTGAAAGCAGACTGCCATATCCTTGTCCTGAGTAGTGGCTGGGTATTTTGAACAGCTGCCTGTGGAATAACTGGTGAGTTCGATTATCAGCTGAGCACTTAACTACTGTGCTTCCAGGGTTACTACATAGAATTACAGTAAAACCTTTGAAAGGTGGAACTTATGGAAGGTGAAAAGTCATTAAAGAAAGAAAGATCAAAATATTTTTCATTGATAGTGATAGAAAAGTGGTGAGATATACCCTGTCAATTGTAGGAAATTTTGAAAACTAGAGAAACTAGGCAATATGGTTGAGCTCCTGTTCTCACAGGCATCACTATATTGTTGTTGTTTGTTGTTATGTGCCATCGAGTCACTTGCGACTCATAGCGACCCTATGTACAACAGCCCTAAACTCCGCTCTGTCCTTTGCCAATCGCACTGTCTCTGACACTCCCATCCCGATTATCCCAGTCACAGAATCATCCACCTCATAGAGGGCCTTCCCCTACTGCACTGTCCCTCCACCCTCCCAAGCATTATGTCCTTCTCCAAGGACCTGTCCCTCCTCACAACATGTTCAAAGTATGTTAGAGGGAGCCTCAGAATCCTTGCCTCCAAGAAGCTACCCGGTTTAACCCTTTCCAGGATGAATCTGTTTTCCTAGCAGTCCATGGTATTCTCAATACTCTTCTCCAGCACCACAGCTCAAAGGCATCAATTCTCCTTCTATCCTCCTTGGTCATTGTCCAACTCTCTGATGCATAACAAGTGATTGCGAAGACCACAGCCTGTATCAGATGCACCTTAGTCTCCAGAGAGACACCATTGCTCTTCAGTACTTTGGAGAGGTCCCTAATGGCATACTTTCCCATGGCAATGCACCTTTTAATTTCCTGGCTACTGGTGCCAAGAGTGTTGACTGTGGAGCCAAGCCAACTAAAGCTGTGTACATTCTCAATCTCTTCACCATCCATCCTGATGCTGCCAATTGGTCCAGTGGTGAGAATCTTTGTCTTCTTGACATTGAGCCTTAATCCATATTGGAGACTGCAGTCCTTGACCCTCTGCAGCAGGTGCTTTAGGTCCTCTTCAGTTTCAGCAAGCAGGGTATATTACACATGGTTGGTTTTTTTTTTCTCAACTATCTTTGAGAGGTATGACACCATTAGTTTCTTTCTATAACAATTATTTTGTTGAGAAATGCAGAAGTCTGGCACAGCATAGAATGCAGGTTAAGACACATGCATACTGTGCAGACACTCATAGTGCATATATACTTAACTGTGTGACATACATAGTCATTGTTCTTTTAATGCTTACCTTAATTGTTTTAGAGCTACTTTTAAATGGCATGCTTACTTCTTGCTTAAGCAATTTATAATTACTAGATCTGAGGACATTGATCAGTTATCATTTAGATGGTAAATTTTGGATAAAACAAAAACAACCCTGGAGAACAATATTGAAATACTCTGGATTGCTAAGAGAACAAATAAGCCAGTTTTGGAGAGGATGAAATCAGGTTGCTCTGGGGAGGCAAGGATTTTGAAGAACCATCTCACCATGTTACCAAAAAGAGAACATGATGCTTGAAAGGGTGGAGGAAAGGCATAAGAGAAGAAGGCCCTGGGTAAGATGGATTGACTCATTGTCTGGATTAGTATTGAATGGGGATAGGTATGTCAGAGACAATGAAACTGGCTTGAGAGAAAGCAGGGTTCAGAGCTGTTGCACATAGGGTTGCTAGGAGTTGCAAGTGACTTAATAGCACATAACACATAATTTGGTTTGATCATAAAGTGATATGACTGATTAACTCAGAGGAAAAAATCTTTGACATATATGGCAGTATGTTTAATGTTACTCATTATTGATGATACCTAATTAAAACCCATTTTTTAACTGTCAGTAAAGAGAAAATTACTAATATGCTGATGTAGATGAGGAAAAATATTCTCATATTTTATTAATAGATAAGTAATTTTATCACCTTTCGAGAAGTCAGTTTTATAGTATCCATTGAAATTTTAAAATTCAGTCGTCAGAACAGAGCAGGGCAACATTGCATGGTTCAAAATTGAGAAGAATGTACACCAGGGATGTGTCCTATCTCCATACCTTTTTCACCTGTATGCAGAGAAGATTATCCCAGAGGCTGGGCTCTATGAGGAGAA